AAAAAAAAAAAAAAAGATGGAGGAAGAAGAGGAAGACAACTCCATGTGCATATAGATAGAGAAAAAGAAAAGAAAAAGAATGAACAAAAAGAAGAAAAAAAAAATAGTAACAAGAACAACAAAATCACATTTTGTGTTCTTTTCACATATTCTGAATTTCATTGGCTTACGCCTATCGTTGTTACTGTCTTTTTTTTCCTCTTCTTATGCTTTCTATTGATTTTCTACTTTTTTCATGTTATTGTTATAATTATTATCACTCCATATTCCAATATCTACTTTGACTGTTGGTCGAAATGTTGTTGTTTTTCCTTTTTTTTGTTGTTGTTTTTACCAATCTTCCCTCGGTTTATTTCTGTAGTAATTCCCTGTATCTATAGACACCTGTATCTCTCTACTTATCTATGTATCTATATCTACAGTTATCTAATAAACTATATATATATATATAGTATACCTAAGGGTATTGGGGTCTATTGTACATGTGTATATACCTTCTGCATATTATTCTCTCTCTTTCTCTCTTTATTTATTTATCTCTCTCTCTTTTCTAATACAATACAATATATATATATATATATATATATATATATATATATATATTGTATTTTATAGTTGCTCTTTGATAAGGGACATTAATACTAGAGCTAAGCGTTCATTCCATTTACCAAACAAACAAACAAACAAGCAAAGAAATAAGTAAACAAAAAGGCCAACAACAATGCCCATGAGAACCCCCGCTTTCACTACCAATCCCAAGCGTATTGCACGGCTGCAGGAGAACTACGATGCCGGTGTGGAGCGTGAAAAGATTCCAGCAGCAGAAAGAGAAAAATTGGATTATTTGGCTTTAAGTGTATCAGACGAAAAACTCCGGTTTCTTTTTCAAAACGCTTCAGAGTCCTACAGTGCTGATGTAAAGAACCGAAAAACTCAAGAGTATCGTGAAGCTCACCAGGAAGTAGGGAGAAAGAAATGGTTTGGTGTATTTTAGTATTTTTTTTTTTTGATGTCTGATGGCGAAAGAAGAAAAGAGAATGAATTTGAATATTGTTAAAATTGCTAAAGGATATATATATATATATATGCATGCTATTTTCTTTTTTTGTGTGTGTGTAATTTGTGTTTGTGTTTGTGTTTGTGTTTCTCGTGGTATAACTCTGTTATTCATACATACATATCTCTTTTTCTCTCTCTCTCTGTGTTTATTTGTATTCAATACACTTAAACCCATTATCCTTTATATATATAATATCTTTGTTTAAAGGAAATTAATCTGAAATATCAAAGCTTTATTACTATATACGCCCCCACAAGAAAGATGTTCTCTTCTTCACGACTATTATTATTATGGTTTGTAGCTATTGGACATCTTCTCACTACCATAGTGTGTATAATACTCCTGGCCAAATATATAATGCCATTAAATAGTCCAACTGTACTTCTCTCTAGTAGTTATTTCCATTTCATAATGGCTTTCTTTACATATATTCTACTGCGGTTTGTTATCATTGCCCCCTTTGGCCGACATGCCCATACCACCACTGTACACATCACACTCCCCGCCTCTCTTGCATGGGCACTGCAGGAATGTCCAACACTCTTGAATGTATTTTATTATATACTGCTGGAGTATCCATCCTATTCACAGCACTGCAGTACTGGAGATTGGATAAGACAAGTAATGTATACACTAAATAATAATAATAATAATAATAATAATAATAATAATAATAATAATAATATATTAATAATGCCCACTATCTATAAAGGTGTAACGACATTGCATGTGGGAATACTTCTCTTTGTATTACATTACATTCATCGTAGTTTATTTTATCCATTATTCGTCCGGCAGTCTACACCTGTTCCTCTGCATATTAACATAAGTGCCACCCTTTATTGTCTTTTTAATGGCCGTCTGCAATTATTGGCAAATGTACGAAATCCTTCCATCTTTTCATCTTCTTTTCACTCTTTTGGGTGGACTTTCTTGTTTCTATTAGGCATTCTCATCTTCTTTGCTGGTATGGCTGTGAATATGTATGCCGATTATTATCTTATTGCTCTTAAGAGACGACCCCCATGCTTTGTGTATAAAATTCCACATGGTGGATTATTTGAATATGTCAGTTGTGTAAACTTTCTTGGTGAGATCGTGGAGTGGTGTGGATATACACTTGTTGTCTGGTCCACTGCAGCCACAGGCAGTAAACCTGAAGCTGGACTCGCAGCTTGTAGTTTTGCAGTCTATGTTGTGGCCAATCTACTCCCACGAGCACAGGCTCATCATGCGTGGTATATCAAACAGTTTGGAAATAGATACAAGAAACTTCAACGAAAGGCATTGATTCCATACGTATGCTAACGACTTCAATTGTAAAAATATAATATCTCAGTAAATATATATATATATATATATATATATAGTATACCTAAGGTTATTGGGGTCTATTGTACATGTGTATATACCTTCTGCATACTATTCTCTCTCTTTCTCTATTTATTTATTTATCTCTCTCTCTTTTCTAATACAATACAATATATATATTGTATTTTATAGTTGCTCTTTGATAAGAGACATTAATACTAGAGCTAAGCGTTCATTCCATTTACCAAACAAACAAACAAGCAAAGAAATAAGTAAACAAAAAGGCCAACAACAATGCCCATGGGAACCCCCGCTTTCACTACCAATCCCAAGCGTATTGCACGGCTGCAGGAGAACTACGATGCCGGTGTGGAGCGTGAAAAGATTCCAGCAGCAGAAAGAGAAAAGTACGATCTTGAATGCCTTCACGTTACACCAGCTCATGTAAATCAGTTGTTTACACTGACCAATGAAATAAGGAAGAAAAAGACTGCCGCAGCTTAACCTTTCGCTTTCTTTCCTTATGAAGATGTATTTTTTTTTTCTTTTTTTTTTTTCGTAAGGCTGAAAATGTTGATTCGTTGTACTGATGGAAAGATTTTTTTATTTGATAGGGTGAATAGGAAATAAATTATCTACATTGCGGTCTACTTAAGGACTGTTTTGTGAAAAGACGGTATTGGTTCTCTTCTTTCCCATGTATGTCTCTTTCTTTCTAGAGACATGCTGTCTGTAAGGAGTAGAGTTTTTGGTTTCTTTTTTTCTGCTCATGTATGAAAGAAGAAGAAGAACAGCAAAGAAACAAAAAGAAAAAGATTATAACTGTGTTAATCTTTTATTATTTTTTTCCTGAATTTTTTTTTATTCCTTTTTAGATACATATAGATATAAATATATAAATATAAATAGATATATAAATAGATATACAAAAAGGGGAATTCCTATGCCTGTGTATGAAAATAGACATCTCCTACGTCTTCTTCTCTCCCCACAGGAGCAGGCACAGCAGTTTGTGGAGTACTGCAGATCTCATCATGTACTCACGCGGGGTTTATGCCGCATTGGCACCACAACACGCGGTGGAATGCGTGGACTCATCGCTAATAAAGATATCCGGAAGGATGAAAATGTTGTCATGCTTTCCGTACGTGCCTGTCTTCACCCAGCCACGGCACTAAAGAATAAAACCTTCTTTTCCATATTTCCCTCAAATGAGGCAAATAAGTATTTTCTTCAACCGAATTTTGTAGAGAATAGTCGTGTAGCCGATCGTTCTATTATTCGTCATAATCAGTTTCTCTTAGCCTCTTATATGACCTATCTTATTTTACGTAATGATATGAATGAAGGAGCCCAGGCACTTAAGTATATAAACTTTATGCCTCGCAGTGAAGGAGATTTTGAACAGTTGATAAGTAATATGAATGGATCACTGGATACCGCAGAGGTTTGCCGTATTGCTCAGTCATCTATTGCCTCTCACTTTGGGGTATCACAGGCGGAGATTAGACCACTTCTTCAATGGTCATTATCCATGATATTTAGTCGTATGGCTCCTATTGATCATCGCTGGACACTTCGGCAGGCATTTAGTGATACTCCATTTGAGAATAGTTTTGACGTTAAGGGACCAAATGATGATAAGAATCTTGTAAAGGAACCTATTGCGTTTTTATGTCCAGTGATTGATATGTGTAATCATAGTGAACATGAGAATGTCGCTTTAATGGTTCCAGAACAAACGCCTACATCACATGAACCTGTGATATGTTTACGTTCACTAAGGGATATTGAAAAAGGTGAGGAACTTACCATGACATATGGAGGATCTCCTACAGAACTGCGGGTCATATGGGGAATGCAGCAAGTGTTTTGAAAAGAGATGATTACATTACATTTTATTTATTTATTATTTTGGATTATTATCGTTTTTTTTTTGGATATGTTGTAGTGCTCAAGAAGGCAGAAAAATAATATAAGTTGGTATTTATCATTGAAAAAAAAAGAAAAGAATATCCATGGATACCATTACTATTACTATTATTCTCAGTTTTGATTATAGTTTCCCTTTACTTTCTTGTTTTTCTTCTTTATTTATTTTTTCTTATTTGATAAGAAACCCTAGTGCGGACTACCCTCCTCAGATCTTCTTGTATGCATTAACTAACTAGGGTTACACTATTACTTTACCTTGCAGAGCTCGCCCGCCTCACCTCATGTATCGTCTTAGCAGACTCAGTCGACATCAAGGAGGACGACAATGGATGCAGAAACAATCTGGAGATCCATTTGTAGCGGAGGCTCGTCGGCGTGGGTATGTGGCTCGCAGTGCTTTTAAACTTATTGACATGGATGATAAGTTCGGTCTCTTCTCCCGTCAACACACACGAGTTGTGGTGGATATTGGTTGTAGTCCCGGAAGTTGGCTGCAAGTAACCCGTGAACGTTGTGGAGATCACTGTGCACTCTTTGGAGTTGATCTTTTACAAGTATCCGCGCGAGTGCCTGGAGCTGTTTGTATTCAAGGCGATTTCACCACAGGAAAGGTCCAGCAAGAATTGCTTACTCGTATGTCTAGTGTAAATGCCAAAGGTATGGTGAATGTGGTCATGTCGGATATGTGCCTTAACCGCGGAACAGGTGGTACAGACGATAGACAGAAACAAATGCAACTGAACATGGAGGCACTTGCCTTTGCCACATCTCAACTAACACACGGTGGTCACTTTCTCTGCAAAGTGCTTGGCTCACCAACGGCGTATGAAGAACTGCGGGAGGAGGCGCAGCGGTGGTTTCTGAAAACGGCTATCTGCAAACCATCATCAAGCCGCCGTGGGAGTGATGAGTCTTTTATGGTGTGTCTTGCGAAAAGAGAAGTTCCGCAGCCACGAAGATGTGGTGAGAGAGAAAACCGTCAGGGTTTTGGACTTGACGACTGGCCCGGATTTATTCGCAGACCAAGGCGGTGAGAAGAGAAGAGAAGAAGGGAGAAGAAGAAGTACCGTTGATGATGATGATGATGATGATGAAGTTAAAGTGTTATAAGGGTGATTTGAACACGAGTGAGTTTTTTTTATTATTATTTGGTTTGTTGATTTATTTTTCGTGTTATTTTTATTTCTTTTTCTCTCTTTGTCTCTGGTAAGAAAGGAAAATAATTAAACAAAAAAAAAGAAGAAGAATCATCATGATTCGGTTATTATTTTGCCTGGTTTTTGCTGTATTCTTCTCTGAAGTTTCACAGGCCTCCACTCCGTACATCTACGATGGTGGGTTTGAATTTCTACGTGTTGGGGAAATGCGCTTTAACGAAACTATGGAATTCCCATCTGATATGTTGACAGAAGTCCGACGACGTTACATTTTGGCCGGTCTGCAGCGAGACCGTCGTTATCTTGTACACCTCTCGTTCTTAGGATCACCGTCAATTGATTATAGGATACACGTTGGCCACCAACACCGATCTCTTGTTGAGATGCATCAAGAGCAGGCAAAAGAGGAAACGGTAGAGACATATCATCCCCAAGGGCAACGAAAACTTGCAGATGTAAATATGCTTCACTTTCGAACACATATTGATGATCTAGGCTTTGATTTTATTGGTGGCGATGGGGCGGTTGACATTGGTGATATGGATATCAAGGAAATAGGCGTTGGTGAGAAAAATAATGATAACGACTATATTCCTCTCCTGGAAATACGTGGTAGACGTAACGCTTTCCCACCTCATCCAGAGATGTGGGAGATATTCTCGTACAATCTACGTATAGACGCTATTGGTAATTTTGAGGGTGTCACTCTTACGGTTATAGCGCACTTCATAATGATAGTGGTGTCTGTCATCAGTTCCACTCTTCTTGTCTCACGCCTGATTACACTTATTGCTGGTGATGCACCAAAGCCCCAAGCACGTCGTGACTTTCTTATATTCTTTTGGAATTTTAAAGAGAAAAGTAAATAAAAAGAGTGGCAACTAAGAATCAGTAAACTCCTTCCAATGCTTTTGTATCTGCAGGCGTGGAAAAAAAAAAAAAATGTGCGGTCCTCCAATAACTCCTCCAAGAAGAGATGTTAAATAAATGGTTTACGGTAAAAACATAAAGTTTACTTCATATCTTTCTCTTTAACTTGTTTTTTTTTTTTTTATGCCTTCTGTTTTATATATATATATATATATATATATCCAGCACAGTGTACAAAAAATATTTAGCATAGGGAGAGTTAAAAACCAAAAAAGAAGACAACTTGAGCGAAAGCAATGGACACAGGTATGGAGGAATGTCGTTATAGGCACGATCATGACGTTGTTAGCCCCTGCAAAGAGAACAGTGCAAGATCTTATGTTGGACCTGATCTTCTTGCCCGTCAGGCTATGTACGAAGAATCTATAAAAGATCCTTCTGCATTTTGGAGCAAAATGGCAGCAGAGAATTTTTACTGGAAGGAGTTATGGCCTTCAGATAAGGATATATTGGAGTACAACTTTGAAAGGAATAAGGGAGAAATATTTGTCAAGTGGTTTGATGGTGCGGTTACAAATGTGTGCTATAACGCACTTGATCGACACTTGCCCCACCACAGAGATCGTGTCTGTTACTACTGGGAGGGGAATACAGAAGAGGAAAGCAGCAAGGTAACGTATGGGGAGATGTACAGAGAGGTGGTGCGGATAGCATCTGTATTAAAGCATCATTATGGCGTCCGTAAAGGTGACAACATTACTCTGTACCTACCAATGATCCCCTTCGCCGCGCAGGTAATGTTGGCAGCAGCACGTATTGGCGCCGTCGTCTCCGTTGTGTTTGCGGGGTTCTCTGCACAGGCACTTGCCTCCCGCATCTTGGACTCGAAAAGCAAACTCCTTGTCACTGCCGATGCCTCATCCCGTGGGGAGAAGCCAATCCCTCTAAAGAAGATTGCGGATGAGGCCCTTGCTGAGTGTGAGAAAAATGGACACAATGTCCAATCTCTTGTTTGGGAACGATACAACCGTGGGAATGTGTCAATGAAGGAGGGTCGTGATGCGTGGTACGCTGATGTGGCTGCGACACTGACGGACGAGCAGTTGTCGAACTGCCCGGTGGAGTGGGTTGGTGCGGAGGACCCGCTCTTCATGCTGTACACCTCCGGCAGCACCGGCAAACCCAAGGCGGTCGTGCACACCACTGCCGGCTACATGGTGTTTGCTGCCACCACCTTCAAGTATTCCTTTGACTACCACGAGGATGATGTGTACTTCTGCACGGCGGACATTGGCTGGATCACCGGCCACTCCTACCTGGTGTATGGCCCCATGTTGAATGCCGCCACCTCCATACTGTATGAGGGGATCCCGACCTACCCCACGCCCTCCCGCTGGTGGGAGCTGGTGGACAAGTACGGCGTGACGATCTTCTACACCGCCCCCACGGCGATCCGCTCGCTGATGAAGTACGGCGATGGGCCTGTGCTGCGCACCTCCCGCCGTACACTGCGCGTGCTTGGCTCCGTTGGCGAGCCGATCAACGTGGAGGCGTGGCACTGGTACCACGGCGTGGTGGGCGGCGGCCACGCGGACGTGGTGGACACGTGGTGGCAGACGGAGACGGGCGGGCATCTCATCACGCCGCTGCCGGGCTGCACGCCGCTCAAGCCGGGGAGCGCGTCGCTGCCGTTCTTCGGCGTGGCGCCGCTGCTGCTGGACGCGGAGTCCCACGCGGTGCTGTCGGGCGCGGCCGAAGGGCTCCTCGCCGTGGGCCGCCCGTGGCCGGGGCAGGCCCGCACCATCTTTGGCGACCACGGCCGCTACGAGCAGGTCTACTTCCCCTTCAGCGGCTGCTATCTCACGGGCGACGCCGCCCGCCGGGACGCGGACGGCTACTACTGGATCACAGGACGCGTGGACGACGTCCTCAACGTCAGCGGGCACCGCATCGGCACAAGTGAAGTGGAGGATGCCGTCAACACACATCCCGACGTTGTAGAGAGCGCCGTCGTTGGTGTCCCACACGATGTGAAGGGAGAAGGTATTTACGTCTTTGTCACATTCCACGAGCACGTCAAAGTAGATAAGGCGTTGCTGGAAGCCGTACGGGTCACGGTCCGCACTGTTATTGGACCACTCGCCACACCGGATCACATCCACCCCGCTCAGGGAGGACTGCCAAAGACGCGATCGGGAAAAATTGTTCGCCGTATTCTACGCAAAATTGCCGCGGGCATCTTCGACGAACTTGGTGATGTTACGACACTCGCCGATCAAGCAGTCGTAAGCAAACTCATTGAAACGAAGAAGTCTGATATCCTGTAATGGGTGGAGAGAGGACTATGGTGTGGGGTGAGGAGTCCATAAAGTAGAGAGAAAGGGTAAATAGATGGAGAAAAATAAAGGGGGGAAACTATACTCTTCTCACTTGATTTTTATCATTGTGCCATGCGATTATTATGTGCGTTGCATCATTTTTTGTGATGTGTGCATGTTTTTTTTTCTCTGCCTTTTTTTTTTTCTTTTTCTCCTGACCCCTCACTGGAACTCCTCGTTGGGTTCAGATCGTTCTGTTTTTTTTAAATCTATAATGATATTGCGTATATGTGTGTGAATTTTTCTCTCTTTTCTTTATTATTTATATATGCGCGTTTATTTTCTTTTTTTTTGCGTTTTTTTTTTTTTTTTCAGTTTTACTGTGATCGTGAGAGGGGAAAAGATTTTTGATATCTTCTCATATATTACCTCTCTTATGCTAACGTCTCCTCCCTACCTATTTTCGTTGTCTTCTCGTGTATTACCTCTCTTCTGATAACACCTCCCTCGTACACGTATCTGCCAAAAGCGCATATGAATGCGCTTACATATATACACACACACACGCATACGTATAAGAAATCCTTGAGAGTGCTGTGAATTACTGAAAGCGATTATCACGTTTTTCTACCCATTGTAATCGATGGTTATAATAATAATATTAATAAAAACAATGTCTTGTAGTTCTTCTGTATTTTTTTTCTTTAAAGATAGGAGAGTTAAATACCGAAATGAGGGGAGAAAGCAGTAGACAAAGTGGAAGGAAAGATGGAACACGTTTCCTTATTTTCAAACACAGTCTGGAAAATGAATAGCGATAGATACCTCTAGGATAAAAGGAAAAAAGGAAGAAGAGGGAAGAAATAAAGAAAAAAAAAAACAATACGATAGTTAAAGGGGGAAAAGAAATGTTGGACATAGATGGGTAAGAAAAAAAAAAGGTGGTGGGGGAAAAATGAATGGGGTAAATGTGTTTTGTGATTTTAAATCGCACAATTACGTTTGTACTGAAGTATTCCCTTACGGTTTGTTTATTTGAGGATTCTCAAACCATATATTTCTCTTCTTCTTTTCCCTTTTTTTTTTCGTGTTTTTTTGATGATAATGTGGTGGCGTTTGTTCTATTGTTATCAATGGTCAAACATGTCGTAGAGAGATGAGCGCCATTTTATCGTAACACTCAAATCAACGAGGGATAATTGGATCAGACTATGTTCCTATTTTTCTTTTTCTTTTTCTTTCTTTTTCTTTCTCTCTCTGTGTATGAAGGTACAAGAGAAAAAGAACTTGATTCTATCCGAACTTGTTAATGCCGTTTTTGGCTTATTCCCTAACTCTCTCTCCCTTTATTATCATGAAGATATGTGAACGTTCACCTGTAGTTCTCTTTTTTTTTATTTTCTTTTCGGTTCTTTCTTCTCCTTTCGGTAGTTAGTGAGGGTTGGTGTACTCAGGGATAAATCGTGGAAGAAAGGAAGAAAAAAAAGAAAAGAAAGAATGAGTAGCGCTGCGTTTAGTGGGGCACGAGTAAAGTCTAAATCAGTTCTCTTTCAAGAGGCGGCTTCTTTGTTGCCAGAGGGAAATACTATAGATGAAGATGAGGTGATTCGTCTTGCGCAGAGATATTATATTTCTCCTGCCGTTGTAAAAGAAGCCAAAACTGTTTTTGATCGTTACTATGCACTAGAATTAAAACTGCAAATGGAACGTGGACGTATGATGATGATAGCCCGCTCATCCGGGAAGTCTAGAACGTTAATGGATCCTTCTATACTTGAGGGATTAGGGGTGGGAAGTAGGACCAGTGGCTCTCCTGATACTCTGAATACTGAGGATAAATTAATAGCTTCAGAGAAAGTCTCTCAAGCACCTGTAGATAATACAGGGAGTCCCATAAACGTAAATCTCTCCAGTTCAATAGTTAATAAAAGTCCCGTTATTGGTGATGAGGAAAAGCCATCAACAACGACAACAACAGCAACAGCATCACCATCATCACCACCAGAACAACTACAACAACAAGGAAAAGAAAAAGAACAGGATGAAGAAGAAAAAAAGGATGTAAGACTGGGAATAGAGGGTTTACAACAATTTTTTCTCGATTTAGGTATGGCCATTTCCTCACTTGAAGTAGCTGACCTAGTACACACACTGAATGATGATCCAATAGATTTTGTTATGCAGCAACGTAATATTGAGGCAGCGGCTGCAGCTCAAGCAGCTGCAGAAACGGCCCAGATGAATTCAAGTGCAGGAAAGAAAGGGAAGTCGTCCCCTCGTTCGGCAACTAGCAAGAAAAAAGGAAAAGTCGATGGGGAGGAAGGCAATCCTAATGATTTACCAGAGGATCCTGATAAAAAGCTTAGACCGTCCCTTTTGCATAAGAAGTCATTAAGAGATGGTGTTTCTTTCTCACTTTTCCTTTTTATCTTATCTAACATGTTACTAGAGGAGGAAGACAATCCAACAGCAAAAGACTCTGAGGTCTCTGAACTCTTCCATACATTGGATGTAGATAAGGATGACACCATTTCGTTAAAGGATGTTCAGGCGACAGTTGAACGTTTGGTAAATGAAGGTGTTTTGGCGAATGACTCTGATATTTACCGCTTATGTAATATGACAAGTGTTGAGCTTGAAATGGCACTTATGGAGTGTGATGTGAATGATGACGGTTACGTTACAGTGGAAGATTTGTGTAATATTTTACGTTCGTAAAGTATAAACATATGAGTGTGTTGTATATATATATGCAGCAGCTTTTTTTTTCTCTGTGTGTTCTCTTTTTCTACTGACGTATGATTTCGCTGTAGTAAAAAAAAAAAAAAGGATGAGTGGAAAGGTGTTTAAATGTACAGACGTCTGAAAAGATAAGGTATGCCATGTGTATCTTAAATTCCTTTTTTTTTCCCCCTCTTATGTTCAACTGGGTGAAACAGGAGTTGGGGTTGGGGGCTATATATCTCAGCTTAGTTTACAGTATTTTCTAGGATCTTTTTTTTTTTTATGTTTCCTTGTCTTTCTTTACTTCTTTGCTTTTTTTTTTTTCTTTGTCTTCCTCCTTGTATGTATCTGTGAAATTAAATGATTAGAAGAGAATTAGAGTAGTTTACGAGTACAGAAGAAATAAAATGGGAGTTCCACTGCTTCTTACCTGGCTCAAACGGCGTTTCTCCTCATGTTTTTTACCCAGTAACTGCAATCTAGAAACAGACTGTCTATATATAGATGTGAATGGATTGGTATATCAGTCCGCTGCCCTTGTGGCTGCTAATGAGGCGGCAGGAGTAGATATGGATGCGGCTATTTTGCGTAAACTCTTCGATCTCCTTGATGACATTGTGTTGCGACTCGTACGTCCACGATCTCTGGTTTATTTAGCCGTGGATGGCATTTCTCCTATGGGGAAATTAGCACAGCAACGATCCAGGCGTCGTCGTCGTCGTACTAATAATAATAATAACAATTATAATAATAATAATTATTATAACAATAATAATAACGGTGGTGGTAGATCTGTGGAGTGGGATAGTAATAGTATCAGTGTTGGGACACCGTTTATGTCTCGCTTAACAGATGCACTTCACTTTTACTGTGCCAGTCGTGCAGAGCGGATTAATAGTGAGCGAATGCGTGAATATCAGCGAAATACGACAGAAAAAAGTGATACCTCAACAGATGAGACTTCTGTATCGCCTATTTCTTTTCTCGTAGATGATGTCTGGAGACCTGGTGAGGGAGAAAATAAAATTGCGGATGCCATTCGTCGATTTCGCTCTCAACCAAATTATAATCCAAATACTTCTCATGTTATTTGTAGTTCCGATACAGATGTGACTGTATGTTCTTTGATTCTTCATGAACCACGTATACACGTTCTACGTTATGAATATCCTGTAAATAATGATAAAAAATCTGATTCTGGAAATAGTTGGAAAAATCAAACAGGTGATGCTTGGTCTTGTACTTTTTTCAGTATTCACTTTTTCCGTGAAGAGTTACGCAGAAGACTTCGATTACAGTACAGTACTGATACAAGCTCTACCACTGAAATAGAGAAGAAAAGCCGACAATTTGAAAGAGCCCTTCATGATGTTGTATTTGTACTTCTTTTATTTGGAAATGATTTCCTTCCTTCACTTGGTTGTCGTATAGAAGGAGGATTTCTTGATGGTTTATTAGAACTTCTTGCCACTGATTTTATTTCTCGTGATCGTTCCATCATTGATCCATTAACCAATACCATTCAGTTTGATGCCGCACGGTATGCATTAGATTCTCTTGCTGAGATGCGGGATGAACGGCATGGGGGTGATGGGACTCTTTCTATTAACAACGGCACTGAAGGAGGCACCGGCTGGGGATTTGAAGATGCGGAATTTCAACAACGCAAGCAGGCGGAAGAGAAGGAACAGGCCCCTCGCTGTTATGCCTATTGGACAATGCTCCAATGGTCCCTGCAGAACAGTGCGGGTGTGGTGGAGCATTGGGGTTGTTACTATCCATATAGTACTGCCCCACCACTGCATCTACTTCGCAAATACTGTGGGGTCCTATCGTATGATGCGTTAATGCAATTGGCAGAGAAACGCAGTCGTGCGGATAAATCTGGGAGTGAAGTATCTTTAACAACAGAGTCCACATCTGCCATGCGAGGAAGTGCTGGACCAACAGATGTACTTGTGCAACTACTTGTATTACTCCCAGCACGAAGTGTTTCACTGTTTCCATCGGCAATACGTAATGCGTATGCTGAAATTGAACACTTAGTACTTGCCCCAGTGGAACGTCTGGACTTTGCTGCTATTGAAGCCTGGTGTGAAAAGAAACGACAATTGTTTACAGAAGAGGAAAGAACAAGATTTCGTTCCTATGCATTATGTGCTGGATCCACTGTACTGGCAGGAGAGAAAGAAGGTGAACCTATTAGAGGGAATGAAATGATATTTCTTGCAGATTGGAATGCAGAGGAATTTGCAGAGGAACTTAAACGTATGAAAACGGCAAAACAAATAGAAACAACAACCAATCCTGTAAACCGTGGTCTGACATCCATGACAAATAGTTCTTTGGGTTCCTTTACATCCTCTTTTTTCAGTTCACGACCAACACGCAAGACTTCAGCAGCAGCAGCAGCTCTGATTACCACCACTTCAAATGAAAGCAGTGATCTGAATAATTGCAACAACAATACTACTACTACTACTAATACTGATACAGTTCACAAAGGGAGCGAAAATACTGCAGAACAAGCTGTATTCAACAAGCAAGAAGTAGAGTATGAATCTTCCAATAAAATTGAATTGGTTCAAAGGAGTTCTTTTACTGTTTTTGCCGTATCTACTAATGTGTTAGTTGATACTTCTATGATTAAAGGTGTTGGTTATATTACGGGTGATACCTTTGTGTGTGGACAATTCACCAACCCTCATTTATCACGTCATTCACAGACAATGCTCCCTCGCCTGCAATGGCGTATTGCCTCAAAACCGCTTCTGACTCAATCAAAGTTTGTACCAGATCTTCTCTCAGGGTATAATGCCCCACCGCTCCCTTCTTTATCTAAAAATAATGAGAAACCTGGAATGAAACGTGATGCGTCTATACTTGATAGAACAGATAATAGTGATAGTGATGACAGTAGTAGCAAAAGCAATGAGGATAAGAAGAAGTCTCTCTCTGATCATGTTTTGACTGAGATTGAGAAGAAGAAGGAAGCTGTCTGGCGTCGTCTAGAAGCCTTGCAGTCACGTTCAGAAGGAACAGGTAATTAGTTTTAACTAAAGAAATGAATACCAGCAGAAGAAAAGAAAATATATATATAAGAAGAAGAAATAGTGACTTACGAAACGCTAAAATAAAGGGTTTCAGGATGTTTACCATGGCATTATTTGCTAATGATGCAGTGGAGGAAACCCTTTTCTGCTTTTTTTTTTTTTTTTTACATATACGTAAATGTTGAGGATACATATATATAAACACACAGAAACACACTTGTCAATGTTACAGTATTGGTTGGTTTTGCTTTGAAATCATTATTTCTTTTTTTTTATTTTATCCTTTTTTTTTCTTTTCTGCTTCTCTTGATTCCTTTTTTTTTTCTTATTATTTGCGGCTATTATCTAGCGTCCGGATAGTGATACAGTCCTATTAAAAGGACTCACCATTTGAGCCATTTTTTAAAAATAGAATCTTTCTGCAATAGTAACGAAAGGTTCTCGTTTTCCGCACACAAATCTTTTATTATTACTATTATTAGTATTGACAGTGGTAGTAGTAGTATTAGTAGTAGTAGTAGCATCAAGGACTCGTGTGTAGTATTTTCTGCGGTTTTGCGCATCTGAGTGCCTTTTTTTTTTATCTGGTAAATTAACAAATAGAACGTAGTAGAGGGGGAAAAAAAAAAAATTAAAAAAAAAAAAAGTAATATTCTCTCTCTTTCTCTGAGCTCGTGTGATAGTAACAAAGAATATATATATATATATATATATATATATATATATATATATTTGCTTTCTTTTTCTTTTTTAGGTGTTGCTTCCCCGATATGACGTTGTACAACATCACCATTCATCCTTTGCGGCTGAATGCTTACTTTTGCCGGCTGGGATGTGTGTACGTCATCCTTGTCACGCGTAAAGGCGTAGAGGTGGTGTCAAGCCCTGGAGTCTGCGCCGTTCCCGGCGAAGTGGAGTTCAGCACACCAGCCGAACTGGATCGCACGCAAAGCTTTCAAGTTACTTTCAACTCACCAAAGGACCGTCGTGTAGTGAACTTTGGTGTGTACGATATCACCAATCGCAAGCACAGTGCCAAACTCACCGGTTTTGAAATTCCGCTGGCGGGGATGTGCAGTGTGCTTGCAGGGGAATCCATGTGTGAAAAGAAGGCTGTCTCGTTCAGAATTGCTGGCAGACCCGGTCGTTTGGATGTTATCTTTCGCATGCATCCAGTGGCAACGCCTCCTCCACCGTTAAGAACAAGTATATCCGCATCATCAGCAGCAGCGGCAGCAGCAGCAGCAGCAGGAGGAAGTGGAAGTGGAAGTGGAAATGCAAAAAGTGCGGATGGATCACATGCTGGTCGTCTTCCCGTCGGTGTGGTGGAGTCCCTCACGAAGGCTGGTATGCTCTCCAGCGAAGTGGAGGTAGTTGAGATGGATAGCGACATTGCACAGGAGATTGCCGCACGTGTGGCACTTCTCTTTCCTAATGAGGAAGATTTACGGGAACGTGTGCAGGTGCTGGAGAGGGAATTGGCACGATTGGAGTATGATGCAGAGTACGCCGCAAAGGATAAGGTAGCTACGGGTTCAGCAGCTGCAAATGCACTTCGAGAAGAAACTCAATATTGGCAAAAAATGGTGGATGAAATTAATGCCAAGTCTGCCCATGAAGCAGGTATTGCTCCTAATATACCGGCAGCACCTAAACATTCCCCCAGGCAACAATCTGCTTTAATAGCAGAGATGGAAGATCAGCTATCTGCAGCTCAAGAAAAGTTACGTAAACTGGAGTCACTGCAAAGCCACCGGGATGTATCTAGTGAGGTTATTCCCATTCTTGATGAGATTGAACACATTGAAGCCGTTCTGGTGGAGCTTAGGCGAGATCAGGATCAGACAAAGGCACCACTCGTCACGGAAGAAAAAACTGCCTATGTGGATCAGTGGGATCGGCTGGCGGAGGAACTGTATGACAGGGAATCTATGGTGGAGCAACTCCAACGCACTATTCTCGCCCTTAACCGTTTACAGTTTGAGCCGTATCCCGCCGGTATTGAGGCGGGATTTGCGGAAGAGGCACCGAAGGAACTTCCATTCGTACGCGATAATAAACGACGATTATCCAATCTCCCAGCAGCAACCACAGGTGGTACTGTAACCGCCACAGCCCCAACAACAACAGCCCGTGCACAAGTAGGTGGTACTACTAAAACCGCAAATCTCTTGGATGATCTCTTTGGTGCTACTCCACCACCAGCCTCCCCAGAGGCAGAAGCGTCACCACATGCAACAGCAACAAACAATGCACCTTCCAATGTGCAGACGACAGACGACATGCTACCAGGTTTTATACCTCCACCGGCCGCTTCTGTCGTTCCTGTATGGGCACAACAACAACAACCACAATCCCCGCATGTAGTGCCTTCTCAGACATCAACACCAGTGCCACCAACAGCAACGGGAACAATTCCGAATGTGGATGTGAAAGATAGTGGTCAAAATAATGTATTGCAAAATCAGGAGAAGTCTACAGAACACCCTCAAACAAGTGCTGAGATAGCATCATCGCAGGGAGCAGATAACTTAACTGGTACCCATAACTCTGCTGCGTCTGTGCCTCCAGACCCACCAGTAACCCCATCATCAACTATATCACCTGAGTACCGGACTTTTCCACCGACTTCACCCCCAGCTGGGCAAGAGACATCCTCCTTACAAACCGTACAGCAACCGCAACAAGAACAAAAAGAAAAACAAGAACAGGAACAGAAACAAGAACCTGTTGCGCAACCCCCGCAGCCTCATAACGAATCAGCCGGGTCTCCACCATCGCAACAACAACAACAACAACAACACACGCTATCCCCATATGGTTCACCAACCGCTCCAACGCCACAAATGGGAACTCAGCCAGCTCAGCCTCAGTATGGATCAGCCGTGGCTCCACAACAACAACAACAACAACAACAACAGCATATGCAACCCCAATATGGTTCACCGGCCGCTTCAGCGCTGCAAACGGGAACTCAGCCAGCTCAGCCTCAGTATGGATCAGCCGTGGCTCCACAACAACAGCATATGCAACCCCAATATGGTTCACCAACTGCTCCAACGCCACAAATGGGAACTCAGCCAGCTCAGCCTCAGTATGGATCAGCCGTGGCTCAACAACAACAACAACAACAGCATATGCAACCCCAATATGGTTCACCGGCCGCTTCAGCGCTGCAAACGGGAACTCAGCCAGCTCAGCCTCAGTATGGATCAGCCGTGGCTCCACAACAACAGCATATGCAACCCCAATATGGTTCACCGGCCGCTTCAGCGC